TTGCGAGCGCTGCGCAGCTTTGTCCTCGGATGAAATAATAATAATAATAATAATAATATTATATAGGATATTGCGTGTTGTTCCGGCGACACGACGCGCCCGCCACAAACCCTTACACAATATATGTTTATCACGACTGTCTGGTAAAAACTTGAGGAGGAGGCGGCGGTGCGCGTTGACGTCGACGTGTCGTGTGGGTTTCGAATTAATGTTTCGGTTTGGCCGATGTTCTGCCAGATGTCGCCAAACCCCGCGGGGGCAGATGGCACGTATAATGTTTGGCGGAATAGAAGAAGAGAGTTCGGCTCGATCGGCGGCGTGTGTCAAGTAATAACCAAATTTCTCCAACGGATGTGATTTTATATACGGACTCGGGCGTATATGTGACGTATACAATATTGTATGTTTGCAGTAGGTGTATATTGTATACGTCGTACATGTGACGTAAATAATATATAATATTATATAATAATAGTAATGATACGCGGCAGCTCTGTTCGATCCGGAAAAATAGAGACCGACCGTGTCTGTTGTGACGAGTTGTCGCACAAAACACCAATGCAAAGTAAAGTGTTTTAAATATTTATTTGGCGATACCATTCGGACGACCCAATATACGAGCATATAGTATATAGGTATAGAAGCGACTAAAGGAAAACAATTTCTTCGAGGAAGGCCTTCAGATGTTTTCCGTAATTTCTTTTTGTGAAAATTTTCCCTTAATACATCTCCTAAGTTTGTTTATACCTACTTATCATGTATAAGTGGTTTATAATAAAATATATAAATCGACGTCAATATTTAGGAGGTATAGGAGCTATTTATATACCTATATATATATAATATATTATTATGTTGACCGACAAATCACAATTTTATTTTAAATCAAATGTTCTGTTTTTAGTTTATACATTTCCAAAACATCATAATATACTTTGATAAATTTACAAAATCTCTTCAAATAATGAGAATATCCTAATTTGAGAACTGTCTTGTGCATTATACTCGTTCTCAAAGATTTTTTCGGGTCTATGATGAAAAGATTGCCCGTCACTTATTCATCAATATATAAACTGTATGTATAAAATATATTATACTTTGACTTTTAACAATTCACTGATAGAGAGCTATAGTTGAAATTTCAACAAACAAAATTAAATAGCATGAAAAATTGTAAAATTGAAAGTAGAATTAAATGTGACAAATTATAGAATTTACATAAATCGAAAATTAAACCGACTGAATCAGACAATTTTTAAGAAAACAACTTAAAAAATCAAAGTTTTCAAACAAAATAATGTAATTTATCAAAAAAGGGGGCTTGCAATATGAAAACAAATTGTTTTGTTGCTCGGAAAATAAGATAAAAAAATTAGATTTTTTCAAAGTGCAATATTATTATTAAGTCCTTCATGTAGTTATAACGAAAGCCGAATGAAATTCAAGCAGGGCATCTGGCCGAAATATATTTTAGTGTTACCTTAAATCGTGTGATCACACTGTATATTATATGTATATAATGTTATGCGGCTGCGGAGGCTAAGAATGTAAATTCCGTCATTATTCACGTTTGCCGACCGCGTTAAAATAATATAAAAAAGCAAAGTATCAAAGCTGTTGGTCGTTGTTAACACGCGGGCTGGAAGAGGAGAGTAAAATCTTTTTTAAAAGTGTTGGGGCAAAGGAGAGCGGCGAAGAAAAAAAAATCACCGTATAACGTTCTATTTACCCGACCGTCGTTGTTTACCATAAAGGCAAATTAAAAACTTCTCCGTAGAATATTCAGCGACTTTCCCTCGTTTGTTGTTTTTTTTTTTTTTTGCACGTTGTTTATTTTATAAAAACGCGTTTCCTCAACTCGGCGGCGGCGGCCTTTGAGATCCGACGGCGCACACCGAAAGACGGAAAAAGAAAAGCCCTGCAAGTGTTCGTTAAGCCGATATGCATTCATTAACCGATGTTCTTATTTCCAAAAGGTTTGTTCTACACTCGAAGCGCTTTTTCTTTTTATATGTATATAAATGTATCGCATCGGAAAACTTTTCACTTCTCAATATAAAAACTACTCGAGTTCGGTTCTTTCACCCAAACCCGCCCCACGACTTATTTACACTCGATTTGAATACGAATATAGCGATGACAGATATATTTTTTAAATAAATAAAAGAGCTAACTATATATACGCAGCGATTCGAGAATATATAAGATACATATTGTTTTATGTTTTTGTATATTATTATATTATTGTACATGTCACAACGAGCTGTACTTTATAATAATATTATCTTTTATAAAATACGAACATAATAGTATATTATGTAATTTATTATTTTTATTTTAAACGCAATTTTAATTCACTCTATCTGTTACTTGACGATAAGCATAATTATATTGATAAGATAAAATAATATAAGTAAAACCTTGAAATGACAGAATATGTACCATTAATACCTCCAAAGTTGAATTATTATTATTATTATTTTTTGTTTTAATATTATGCTAGCTATAATATGTTTAAAATTTTTTTTTTGTATCCATTAAAATATATAATACACCACAATACGAATTTATTATTAGCGAAAAAAAGCTTACTATTATATAACATTCATATTACTTATAATTTAAAATTATTATTTATTTAGCAACACTGCGATTTGAAATTTAATGTATTGAAATCAACCTACGATTCATCAGTATACCGACTCTGTTGGATTCTTAGAATTTTCGTAAATAAATATATTGAATTATTTAAATCATGTACGTATTGCTATATATTTCACTTTCCTTTAGTTTTTATTTGTAGACAAAATCATTTAAAATATCTTTAGTGTACCTTTATTGCATGCCAATTTTCTAAATTCGCCTTGTAATGGAAATAAAATATTAGTTGTTGAATCACTATTTCTGTGGTGATCCATGTGGTTATTAGGACAACGATTAACTGAGAAGGTATATTGTTATATTTTACTCCATGTTAACTTCCAGCTTTTAGAGTGAAAATTGTCATTATTAACTATATTAACTTATAACTGAACATTCTTCTATACTATACGTCTTACCTACCTATAAGTTATAACTAAATTAATGGTTTTCGTCTCCCATCTTTGTGTATTTCTATAAGTACGATAGTACCTGTACAACTACCATCTAATGATATTGCAGATGTTTTAATATCTAAAATGTATTCATTTCATAATGAAAAATGGTCGAACAAAAATTTAATTTTAGGTATATATTATGTTATAATTTATTATAACTAATAAAATGGCTCTTAAAATGATTAAAAACTGACATAATCTTTTTTTGTTGTCTGTTCTACAGAGTTTATTTTATAATATATTTATATTTATATGTTATAATATTCCATAATAATATTATAGTGCATAAAAATATCTAAAACGATAATTTACCATAAATTATTTTCAACGTTACATATTATCCATACAGTCCCTATTTCGACTTTTTTTTTAGAAAAACTGTTTTGCCGTAGTAAACTAGTAAAAGCTATTTCGAAATTTTTTTTTTTTTTCAATTGGTAGTGCACACATAATAATATGCATTTTCGTAATTCGTTGCACACATCGCTACGGCGACGCAGACAACCGACAAACAGAGAATGTATGCATAGTTGTTGGTGCATGTATTTAAAACGTAAACAGAGATTCCGAGCGGCGGCTATCGTTAAATTATTCCGAAGCACACGCTCGTATCTGCTGTTTGGCGTTTTTTTTCTCCAAAAACTGTTCAAAAAGCTTTTCTAAAACGAACAAAATGTCACATATAATATGTGTCTATAATTATAGAGTAACGAACTGCGGTGCGGTGACGGCCATCGATTACCAATCATTTCGGTCGCCACAAGAGCCGCCTAGATATCGTTCCACTCGACATCTCTAAGACATCCATGAAAACCAAAAAGGTGCTGCGTTAAACTACGCGTTTGTATAATATTTTCTTTTTTCAAAGATTTAAGACGTATTTATTTGATCCGTACGACAATTGGGAAAACTTATATGTACTCCAAAACCTGCAGGTCTGTAAATATTTGAAAACAATTTTTCGATAAATTCTGTGCAGCCTGCAGGTGAGATGGGTATATGCGTAGGCTCGTACTACAATTGAGTGGTTAGTGTATATGTTACAGTAAATGATATTAAACATCCAAATAACGTTATTTTCTATCAAATAACAATAGTTACCTAACAAACTAGTAATTATCGTGATTTATTATTTTTTTGATTTGATTATCGATAATTTTTATACACACGATGAAAAATGTTGTTATATAATATTATCTTAATGGTTTTAGCATTGATTAAATATACATATATTATACATATATATATTTAATCAATGGTTTTAGATAGTATACATCCGCAGTATACGTAGTACTTCGGACTAAGATATTTTCTAATTCCTACAATATCTTAGTCCTGTTTTTAACAACAATTAGTTATGTTTATAAATAAGATTAGAGGGGCTTACTAGTAGAAGACTTTATTGAAACTATTGTAGATAATATTTTTGTCAGTCTTTCACGGTACGCATCGGATCGACATCGTTATATCATTATGTGCTAAAATATTCTTAAAACATTGTGTTAATTTTTTTTTAAATTGTATAGTTAATAAAATTCAATATGGATGAACTTGAAATGGAAAACAAATTTAACAATATTATATCTGATATAGTTCAAAAAAAACGTAGCGATAATAACTCATTTCTAACCATTATTGATGAGTACAATATTCATATTGAACAATTAAAACATTCAAAATTTGTGTTGAAAACGCCAGGAGAAAAAAAGTCTATGAAAGATTATCGATTGGTACGTAAATATGATATTTTAACAATAAACAATAAAGAGCGTCTTATTAAACCTATAAATGACGATAGTGCGATAGGTACTATACTCTATTACGTTACAACTTACAATTGACGAGTTATTCAATATTTTGCATTCCACTCATTCTACTGTTGGCCATGGTGGAAGATGTAAAATGGATTCTGTATTAAAATCAAAATATTGCAACATCACGAACGAAACTATTATGGCATATTTAAATCTATGCACACATTGTCAAAAAAAGTCATCGAGTCTTAAAAGAGGCTTAGTTTCGAAACCTATTTTACATTCTACTTTTAATTCAAGAGCTCAAATTTATTTAATTGATATGCAATCACAAAATATTAATGGATTCCGCTTTATTTTAAATTATCAAGATCATCTTACAAAATTCTTGTTACTCAGAGCTTTAACAAATGCGGAAGAGATCACACACAATTTGTTGGATATTTATACAACTTTCGGGGCACCAGCTATTTTACATTCAGACAATGGCCGAGAATTTGTTAATTCGATAATTAATGAGCTTCATTCCATGTAGCCAGATGTAAAAATAGTACATGGCAAACCTAGACACAGCCAAAGCCAAGGGTCAGTAGAGAGAGATAAAAACGACGTCGAAGACATGCAAGCAAATTATTTTTTGGGCATTACTAAACATACAAATATTAAAAATGGGATGGTTAAATTTGATTTCAAAAAAATTCAAAATATGCAAAATAAAACTTTTTATTGCTCGTTCACAAAAAACTAAACATCTTAAAAAATTTTACAAAACTTGAACTATACAGGTGTAACAAAAGAAAAGAGTTTAAAATATTGATAATAATTTATAACAAACGTTATTGCATTAGTCTTTTTGTTAAACCCTGTATACTATACATATAGTAAAATCGAGTAATAAATAATAACTATAATTTGTACTACTCCCAACCTCTGTATTTCGAGCATTTTATGATTATTATGTTTTATTTTAGTTAACCAACGTCAAGAAAATATTAAAAATAAAAGAAATAATTCAATTCAATGTTTAAAAAAGCAAGCCGAAAGGATGATGACACAATCAAACAAAAAATATCAAGAGTTGGAAGTCGGAACAACTGTTCGTATTTCCATACCAGACGTTAACAGAGCACGTGGATCCCCACGAAATTTATTAACAGTTATTGCTAATGTTGACAACGGCTTTTATAAATTATGTAAGTAAAATAAAATACAAAATTTAAATTTATAGGTATTCTGGTATTCATGTACTTATATTTGAATTAGGTACCGAAAATGGTTTTCTGAAACACAAGTATACGAAATATCAACTTGTGCATGCAAAGAAATTTTGCTTGATCTCAAAACTCTGCTTGAATCATCTAAAGAAAAAGAGATAACACTTCGAGAAGCCGCAGGACGTAGTAGTCTTATGGGCACACAAGGTTATCAAATATGTCACTGTGAGATGAAGTGTAAAACAAATAAATGCACCTGTCGAGTAGTCGGGAAATTATGCAATTCGAAATGCCATAGCTCAATGTCATGTGAAAATAAACAATAATAAATAATAATACAATAATGTAAATACATGATTAACTAATATCGTTTGGAATTAACGTAAATACTTGGTAATTAAGGCTATATGAACCATATTAAATCTGCATTATTATCTATCAACGTTAATTGCTAGTTAACAACGTTAATATAAATTTAACATCATTAATTACTGTAACATATATATATAATAATTAATATGTATAATTATATATATTATATCCTGTTCACTTTCAAACGCAATCGCCGAGAGTGTGGGAACCAGTGGTGTGGAGGGGGGGAGTAAAAAACTGATCGATGTACCATTTACTCGGCGAAGTCCATCGCCTTTCGAGGAGATTAATGATTGCGATTCGCGGCAGCGTTATACTATAGTGCCGATCGCAGCCAGGCCTATAATAATATGTATTATATAGTATACAATATATATATATATAAGACCGAGGCGAAAAGCGATGATGTATACACACACAAACACAATAGTACATATAATGTAAAGTGGTGCTTTGCTCACCCGCGCGACCCCAAGCTCGCGCCGCCGCCGACGCCGTTCAAATGAACGCGTATATGTACATATACCTATATATATATATACGTACAAGCCGAAACGTTTTACCGTGATTACCAATCACCGGGTCGCATATAAATTACTCACGTTTACAATTTACCAAATTGCCTTTCGACAACAACTGTCGGCGGCGGCGGTCTCCCCGTAATTTATTCCGCGCGTGGACGAGGGAGAAACACGACGCGGCGGAGTGAGTAAAAACACCAAATTTAGAGGATAGCCGACCCGTAGGTAAACGCGATACAGGAGGAGCTATATACCTATATATATTATATGTATAAACTCGAGTTTGTAGAGGGTGCACCGCACCGGTGGTACACTGCGGCGGGCCCGAGTGGCGCGCGTATATAGTCCGACGGCGGTGATTTTTAATACGTTTAATACTCTGCGCCGCGTGTACATATATATATATATATATTTCTGTGTGTTGTATATATTATGTGTATATATCGTCTGCGATGTTTGTTCGTATCGAAAGTCAATATTGGCGGGACGAGGACGCGAGCCGCCGAATCCCATGATGCGAAAACGGGGGCGAAAACTAATGACGTTCCGCACCGGCGGTATATATATTGTGGTTATTCTCGTATTTTTTTTCACCCCCTCCCGTCTTCCTGCACAACCCGAGCTGCGGTCGTCGTACGGTCGTCGTGGTCGATCGGACGGACGGACAGCACATCATACACATGCACGTGTATTGCAGTATACAGTCATACCATTATGTATAAATATATCGCATGCGTCGTATATTATAATATAGTTACGTATACACTATACATAGGTACTTTAGACGCCATTTTGTCGTCGGCGAATCCCTCCCCCACCCCCTGGACTACAACGTACGCTTTGTAACATAATTTGTGAGTATTTTGTGCTAATAGTATATTGTATTATCGGGGAACATGATATTTTTTTTGTACCTCGCATCCGGTTTTTGTTTTTTTAAATCGTAACGGTCGTCGAGTGCCGAGTAATCTATGTATATAGACGGGTAGTACCGCGAAGTTTTCGACCTCCGACGATAAGGTATATAATTATTATTATATGTGTGTAGAGTCAATCAGCTATACATGACGACCTACTATACTATTATCTTAACATAATCGAACCGCATAAACTGTTCTACAGCAGCTATAATAATATGGTCACTCAGACCATACCACCCAACTGACAACCGTTATACGAGCCTAGCTTGGACATACGTCTTGATGTGCAGCTGGAAAAAAAGACTATCACGTGGTAATTGGTATAAAAGCACGCAGACGCATTTGACTATTGTGACCACCCCCGCCTATAAGACCACCACCAAAAACTAGTCCCCTCGTGTGGGCCACGGAATCAACCAACATCTAATACTTTACATCTCCACCACTAGGATAGGCTAAGGCCTAGGATAGGAAACGACCAATCAGGTCGGTCATATAAGCAAAGCAAAGTGACTATTGTGAGTTGGGATTTTTCGGTATTTTCACATTTTACTCTGCCCAGGGTCTACAGGTTTTTTAATCAACTACCTCCGTCGATGGTGCAGGTGTATACATCAATACCTAATGTATTATTACTAGTTGTTCGGGTACGCTTTTTCATTTCCGCAAAAAAATTTAAAAAAAAAAATAATCAATAATCATAGGTACCTACATTTTGATGTTTTTCTAAAATAAATATAATACGAGAGTGCTGAACTTCGCGTACAAATATGTTAAAACTGATTTATCGCGTTGGTATGTATGAAAAATGTTCTCGTTTTAATTTACACAAATTAAAATTACGAGATAGTTAGTAAACTTAATTTGTATTTGTTTCATTAGTTATTATTATATAAGATTGTCGTTTATCACGTACTTTGCCGTGTTCAAAAATTGAGAACCGAACGAATAACAAGTGCAGCTTGTGAAAGGACAAATGACAACAAAACTTATACTGATAGATGACCGCAAATAATATTTCAAATAAAGTTGTACAAATCAAATAGTGATATAAATTTAATTCACATGGGTGCAAATATACGGTGTTGTCTTAGTACACAATTTTCATAACTCTGTGGTGCGTTTAAAAAGAATTTATTTTTTGAACTATCAACTTTCCAACCATTGAATTGTGCATAGCAATCGTTCGTGTTTATGGGAGCACTGAGTCTTGTATTATCATATTAAAACCTCCAAATTAATTGTGTAAATTTCTTCATCATAATATATTATATTTTATGTTGTTTTTTTTTATTTAAAAATTATATATTTATTTTTATTTTTATTCAATGGTTATACATTCCAATTTGACTTGAGCGTTCAGAAATAAATTATCTTGTTAAAATATCTACATAATATCTATATAATTTTTCCACATATAACGCATATGGTTACCTACTTAGGTATCAAGTGCTATAGTATCGGGAGGAGAATAAGGCGCCATCCGCGGTGCACGGTTTGAAAAATATTGCTCCCCTTAAAATTAAAGCCGAAGTGTGCCTATTGCGGAGTACCTATCTATAATAACAGAAATTTCAGGAAATAACATCACAATACTACTTTAACTCTAACATGTACACATAACATGTTTAAGACATGCGTATTGGTACACTGAGACCATATAATACATATAATATACCTTATTACCATTGTTTTAATAAACTTTGTCGAAATAATGAAATATAGCTTGTAGGCCATACGATAATATTATAATTATCAACCGACTCCTATTATAATACATATACATGATAAGCAATAAAATAATTGTATTAAAAGGCCGGCCGAAATCTATTGTCCCCTGCGCAGTCCCTTTTTCCCCCTGAATACGCCCCCGAATTATATAATATATTATATATCATTTGAGCGATGTCGGGTTATAAAAACGATTTTTAAAACTTCCCCATTATTCCGAAGCGACGTATATATGTATGTGTGTTCATCGATCAATCACCATTGTTATCGAAGCGGGGACCACGGGGATTAAATACGTATACTGTAAATGAGTTTGCTCGAAATCGTCGTCTAACGTGCGTGCGTGACATTTGTGTAAGATTTTTTAAACAATGTAAATCGTGCAGAAATACAAATAAAATCGGTATTATCTGAAGCGCAAGTCATCGCCGCCTATTGTATTTATATATACTTAATTCTCTTGGAGAATAGCGCATAAGCCCCTGTAATCGAATATGATTTATCTTTGGTGAGCGGTCAAAAGGTGTTCAGTCAAAAATTATGATTTTACAGTAGACTTTGTTAAAAGTTTGAAATGTTTTCCTAAATCAGATTTTTATTATATATAAACTTTGTTATACCCATTTAAAACTAAAATATACTTTTAATTTTAAGTTTTGTTCTCAAAGTTATGAAAAAATTTGATTTGTTATACTTTTTGTGTACTTAACTCAAACTCACTTTTTAGAAAGTTGACTTATATCATTTTGACCAAAACTTAACTCCTTATGATCATATTTAAAGAAAAAAAAGTAAGACTTGAGCTTATAATATCTGTTTTAAATGACTTAACCCCAATTGATCTTAAAATGAAATTGATTATGTTTAAACCGAAATGATTTAAGTTGACTTAATCCAATAATATCTTAAAATTTTTTTTATTATTAAATCAGAACGATATAAATTGACATAACTCTTTAAGATCTTAAAAAAAATAAAAATTTGAAACATAATATCTTTAAGGGGTATGAATAGTATTGAAAAAATCTATAAAAATGTACTTTTGTATTTCCAATAATATGGTTTATTAAGTGGTTTGAGAGTAAAAACACTTATTATCAATATTGTAGAAGAGAAGTTAATATGTGCCTGTATAGAAGTCAAATTTTAATATTTGTAATTACTAAACTCAATAATTCAAATTCAAAAAGTAAAATATCATAAGTTTTAGAGTTAAATATTGGACATTGAAAATAAAATATCGAAAATCGACTCCTATACAAGCCTAGATAAACTCCTTCTCTTCAATTTGTATAATAGGTGTTCATACTGTAATGTCACTCAGTAAGCTATATTATTGGAAATACGAAACTAAGTTTCAGTGGTTCACTAAAATTCACATTTGTAATTAGAGTGTAAAATGTTCCGTTAATGACATGTGCGTGCACGTGCGGGTGTGCTCCACTATTTATTTTATACACAGTCACTCACACTAATAATCACTTACTACGCACACATTTACATGACCCGCATGCACACAATTAGAAAATTGCCTATACCGAACTCCTTAGAAACGGTCGGTATGCATACCCCTTAATACACATCACATTCACAGCAGCCAGATTATTTGGTGACTTAACTTGTTTGTACCAAAAATTGAGATTTTTTTTCGAATATAAAGGAGTCAAAACATGATTTTTAAAAAAACATGACTTAAATCCTTTTGACAGCGCATCAAAGATATGTGCAGTAATCCTAGGTACTATTATATACAATATACATATATATATTAATACTATATCG